TCCAAAACCTAGGCAAGCAATTCGATGCTATGCAAATATCTGTATTTGAATGTATGAATTCTTTGCTCAGAAGATTTGCCGGCTTCTATCCAATCCTTTAAGCATATAGAATGTTGTTTTATTTGTTATTCGATATAAATGTGGCAATACAAATGTTTTATAGTTGTCTTTGCAAATTGGTTTATATAAATCCATCTTGTTTTGTAAGCTTTACTATGAGTTTTACAAAGTACGTATTAAGCCAACACGAAAGGCGACTGTTTGCACTTTATCGCCGGACTTCAAATACATATAACTGTTCTGTAGTATTAAAATGGAGATTTGGTAGCTTAATAATCTCGAAAATTGATAGAAACCTTTTCTATTGAGATAAAGAAGATAAATACTAATATATTATTATATTTATGATTCATAATTATTAATTACTATTGTATAAGTTATTTTATTTTCTTAATTGTATACAACAATAAATATGAAGATTAGATTACACCTCATTGGGGCAAGGGGTGACTATTTCACGTTCGTAATGGTATTTAATTATTTATTAAACGAAAACCAAGCCTAATATTTCATTAAAATCGACATAAAATACGTATATAAGGATTCCGTAGCTAATCAAAAAAACAATCAAAGATATAAGTAACACAAATCTAAGGTTACCTACCTTGATGCTTGAAGTAGCGCCAAAATGGAAAAAGGATTTTTCATTTCAAAGGAAATTCTCATCCGAGAACTCGTTACCCACTCAACATATTTCTTGTATTTCTTGTATGTTCTTGTGTGAAATAGCGAAGTTTCCGCAAACTAAAGCTATAAAAGAGAACTTCGCACAATGCAGCCGAATAACAACCACGACTGTATTTCATATACATATTGACTGAAAAATTAGATTAGATTTTTCCTTTTTAATCTATTAGAAAGAAAGATAAAACAATTTATTTGTGTAAATTAAGCAACATAAATTAAACAAACACACGATAACGTTAACCTAAAGTTTGCTGAACTCAGCTTTTTATTGCTGTCACCAGTAACACTGATTTTAAGTGCGCTGTTTTCTTTAATGTACTGGTTTTTTTATTGCCCTGGAGGTTTTTTGAAGTTGCGGAAAATTATTACAGGCAAAGGCATTCAGGACAGCTGTTTCATACGAATGTAGTAGAAAAATTATTAATAAAACATATATACATAGTAATGTATATTTAATCATTTAACAAATAATAAACAGAATTATACCATTTATCCCATACCATATTATGCCATATCGAAAAAAGAACAAGTTCTACAATCCATCAGATTTTCTGATCATGTTTCTTTATGGACAAGTACTATCGTGTATAAGTGATACTATAAATGAATCGATTAATATGCATTTAATATTGTCATGTATAATTTAACGCACGTTTTATACTGTCACTGATTGCGAATGTAAATCTGCGTGATTCAGGTCAGACGTGAGGTGATTTCCTCGCTCTCGAAGTGAGAAAATAAATTATTAATTTCTTGTCGTCATAAAGCTCACTTGAATATACGCGTGCTTATGTTTTCATAGTAAAAGTAGTAGAAGTAGTTTAGTTTCTGTTTTTTGTAGGAGGTAAATGGTCTGAAAATTAATTTAATTGAGTGATGAGTTGCAATGCAAGTTGATTTAGAAGAACGACCGTATATTGAAGTTCGGAAATAGCTGAACATGTTCCATACAAAGGTGGTGCAGGGTTGAAAGGTATTGTAATAAGGTATGATTCTAAACACAATTCATCAATAAATCTTCCACTTTTATATGAGAAGTTTTTTCTCAGTGGGATTTGGGAGAACAACATTTCTGTATCTGTTCATTGATCCATTATTTCTTCTACGTACAGCTTTAAACAGAACATGCAGTGCATTCCCAATTAAAATACGGAGGTGAGTTTTATAAATAGTGACATATAATTGCAAGTAGGACATTAAAATTCCTGGAAAGCTTTAGAGTTCATCTCATAACGACATCGTTAGTGAGCGCTTAGCGGGCATACTTCACTCAACCGCGAGGCCCTAACGTTGCAAATGATGTAGAATTTTATACACCTAGTACATCACGAATTAAACCTCAACAGTCATTTTTGTAAAAGTATGCCCAAGGTGACTGAATGTAGGAATAATTAATGTGTTAGCTGTATTAAAAAGTTGTAAACATAACAAAGCACTCGACTGACTTTGGCGTCTCATTAGTAAGTTGTTATAAATACGTGGCTGAATTTATGGAAAAAATATATTAAAAAAGCTGAGGTTTTTATGAGAAGTGTTGGCCTAGTTCCTTCAACGTACGACTTCATCCTTGAGGGTAGGTAAGCACAAACGACGTTTTTGTCTATGTGGACTTAACACTTGGTCGTACAGTGAACATAGTAAGGAAACTGGCACGCCTTAGGGCTCAGACCTAAAAAAAGATGACGGCATCTGTCAGGAATAGAATACTGCTCACTAACTTGCCTGATAAAAATCAAATGACCCCGAAACAGATACAGAAAATCTGAGGCCCAGACCTAAAAGATGCCATGTAATTTTTCATTCTAATCGTAACTAAAAAAGTTTTACATTAATAATGTATAGTTTTAATTATACCTTTCTATTTAATATTTATTTTACTATGAAGCTTTAAGTTTGTCGGTAAATAAGTGGAAGCAATGTGTCTATGTAATGCGAGTTTAATTACTCACTGACCTATTATAGACCCTTTGTTAAAATGCTTTATCTATTATTCAAATCCTTTTGCTGTATTCATTTTAAATATGTGTTGTTTTACCGATTCAGAATCAAGATTTCATATGGTATCAACGTTATCAGTGTAAGAGGATATGTCACATTTGAATCGACCGCAATATATGTGATATTTCATTACTTAGTTAATCTAACTACGTACTTCGATTCGCTCTACTACCCTGTTCCCCATATCGTAGGGATTACTTGTTTCTATTAGTTTAATGTGACACGGTTACGAAATCTTTAAATATAGATAAAAATCTAACCAATTTTTCTTTTCACTCCAAAAGGTAGTAGAACTTAGAAGATGGAATAAGAAGTTGAAAAACCTATATAAACTTAACAAAATCAGTAGTATTATATAAAACGAATATGTACTAAAGCTGTACCCGCTAGTGACAACTGACACGTAAAACCACTTCGTCTAGGGTTAGTTACATTAATGGACCAAAACGAGTAATGTACACGAGCAGCCCTGCGATTCTGTAACTCACTTTTCGAACTCACACAGCGGTTTTCGCATCCGCGGTCGCTCTGAAATCAGTCGTGAAGCAATCATTTTATGATTTGGCATTCTGAAAAGGTGGGAGCTTGTAGTTTATTGTCTATCAGAATGCCAAATCATAAAATGACTGCTTCACGACTGATTTCAGAGCGACCGCCGATGCGAAAACCGCTGTGTGAGTTCGAAAAGTGAGTTACAGAATCGCAGGGCTTATGTTAGTTTTAGGATCTTTTACTAGAAACTGTTATATAATAATTATAGTACAATAAATATATCAAAACATATATGCATAAATATATGTTATGTACATTATGTTAATCAATATTTGCTGCAGTCTATATAAGTTTTATGTGCACAATCATAGTGTGAGCTTTATATTTTAAAAAATAATTTTAGGTTCTAAGCATAGTTTTAGTGGGTTATTTACCGAAAGCACTGACTCCCATACAAAATCCAAGATTAAATGGTTAAGTAATTTTATTTGCAATTTTTTTTACAAAATACCGATTACTTAAATAAAACTACTTTAACATATTTAAACGTATTCTACATTATTTACATAACTCACGCCGGCTAGGATTTCTGAAAAGCCCTCTAAACATCGAGTTACGTAATAAATTCTCGTTTAAAGATATTTTGTTTAAATATGAAGCACTATGTCAACCAATTATTGAAAGTACTAGTGATTGTTGCTACGATTCGTAGCCATTTATCGTAGCAAGCAATTATTCTATAAAAAGCGCGATCGACATTCGTCGTGCAAACAACAATGCGATTACTGGGAAAGGATTGTGAAACCCGTGAGAGAATCCATCTCGGTAGCCGTAGAACAATACCAGTAAAGCACTACCAAATTCCATATAGGTATAAAAGTTTGTACACATTACGCGTGTGTTTGCAAACCGTGCCTTTATTTACCTTTGCCCTTTGTTGAATAAACTTCCTCAGCATATCACATATTGTTTTCGGAAAATTATTCCATATATTGTTTAATTTTATATATCCTTAACTACTATAAGTTAAAACTCAGTACACGTTTTTACATTTCAAGTATATTTTCATACCTATTTACTGGAGTAAGAACTTACGTATACGAATAACATTTGTATTACAATCGGGGCTCTCAAATTCTTTAATGTTTTGATGCATACAAAAACTTAGCAAAACAATCAAACACCAGCCTTTGCCTTGACAGAATATGTAAAAACATTATATTAAACCTTAAGCATTCTTGGACGCTTTGCCCTAAAAATGTTGAATGCGGTTTGCGGCTGACATTTAACGAGCGCGGTTCATGCATTTATCTGTAGGTGACCTAGACTTACCAAGTCACATTTAATGTCAACATTTAATCTAGTAAGCCGTAGTTAGAAAGAAAGAAAGAAAGAAGAACTTTATTATACACAATATACAGGATATTTAGATTAAGTAAAGTGCACTGGCCCGCACACTAGGATTCCCTGTCTCCTTTTGACATGTAAACAGTTTTTTTATAAATTATATTAATGATATAATATCTACACGTTTATATTTAAACGATTTTTGCATAAAAAGAATATTTTCAGTATCAGCATATGACAGGTTAACAAGATTAAGTTAAGAGTTAAGAAGACGGAGATAAAAATGTAAATTCTTTTATATTCACCATAAATGAAAATTACTTTTAATTCTAAATACTTGTAAGTTTTGTTATGAACTTATTTGCGTGGAGCAACTCGATTATTCTATTACTTAATGAATTGACTAAAGTACTGACCTGGTAAGTAGTAGCGTCGCCAGAAGGTAGAAGACCGAAGGATGGACGCCACATTCGCAATCGCCCTGCGGTGTGGCTGTCTGCGCCTCCATGCCAGCGCCAAGTTTGTGGTAGGCGATGTACGCTCGCGCCGGACTGCCGTGGGAAGCAATTTTCGTAGTCTTTCTAAACCGCCAACACTGAAACTGCTCATCTGGTCTATTAGACCATGCCTCCTATCCTGAAAAGATTTACTTTACGTGAATTTATGGCGAACATAATTCTGAAAGTATTACTGAGATTTCTGCTTGTGTTACTTTCCTTTAATTTTATTTTGCACCACATAATGGTAACTTTTAGGTATAAAGGGTCACTGGGTGGTCACGAAACGTTTTACTATTGGGTACAGAAAAACGTTACGGCGCGTTACATGGGGGGTCATTAATCTCCAAAAATTGCGTGACGTAATACTTGAACGCTCCCTCAATTATTATCAAGTTTAACGAATATTAAAAACTATTAAGTAATTATTCTATTACCAATATTACAATGAAAAATACACATTGTATTGTTAATTTCATTCTTCTGGCTTTTATTGAAGTCGATTAAAATTATTGTCAGAGAAGCGAATAGTTTTTGTTCAAATTTGTATATAGGTTGCATAGAAACATACTTGCTTCTGAACAAACTAAGTCCATTAGCTTGTTTCAATATACTTTTTATATCTATGTCTACAGAGTCTGAAATCCATTTAACGAGAAGTCTTAACATATAAGTATTTTATTTAACGTATTATATAATAACTCCTTAACTCCAATTCGCGATATGACTATTCGTTGGCATCGTAAGCCCAAACCCGTGCCAAAGTCAAAGTTTGCATTTCGCTTTAAATTAAGACAAAGGATGTAACTTGCAACAGAATTTCCTATACAAGACCAGAATTAACAAAGAAAACCTCTCCATTGACGTATTACGATATTACTTCAATTACTCATACAATTTCCAGGGCCTGAATCATTTTGTCAATATCGTAATTAGATGTTATCAATTTGACACGTCGCTGGTATAGTTATTGTTTCGCTTACCTTCTTACGCAGTTTTACACCTGACTAGCAACAAAAACATGGGGTGTTCTGTCACATTTTGGAATATTAAAGTTCCCGGTATCGAAATGGATGCGTGAAAGGTTTATTGACTGTTCACTCGCGAAGCCTAGTCGACGACCTCTCCACTGGAGGATTACAAACAGACTGACGGGCCGGGAAAAACGTGAAAATAAGCGAAATGTAGTGCTGAAACGAGGGAATTCCAGTATCGATATTCAAAATTCCTGTTATATTAATATTTAACTCGACTGGTCTAAAGGAGTTCTACATATGTTTTCTTACTCTTAAACCTTTTAATTTCTGATTAAATAATGATTTCAATTGGATATTAACTGTAATTAATACTTAGTAACGAAAAAAAATTGATTTTCTATAGAATTTTAGAATGTTCCTGGTTACATTGTTATTATTATATTAATACGCTACTATTATTTAGCATCTCAAATCATTGAATATTTGAATAGTCAATCAACAGTGTAACTTTCTAGCATAATGTGACTTACTTCTTTAAAATATTCTTGTATATTTAGTGGTAACTATAAAAGTTGTTTAAAAAGATCGAAAATAATTAGATAACGTTCAATATTTTCTTATATTATATAATATATACAAAAATAATCTATCACGTGGGGCAAAAGGACAAACCTACATAACAAAACAAAGATCAGTGTCCAAGCAAATATCGATAAAATACAAAGCAGCCCTACGGCAATATTGGGCGGACAATCGTTGCGAACGAGTCGGGCGGGGGAAAAGTCGATAGCTACTCATGCCATTATACGATGCACGATGCAACATAATTAATTCTGCCCATTGAATTTTATCGAAACTCAGTCCAAGAACTATTTCAGATGAGTGCACGTAATCTGATTTCAACTGAGTTGCTAGTACGTATGTTGACACTATAATTAAGTTTATTCGTTTAAGTAGAATGAAGTTTATTGAAAAACAAAGCTTGCACTATTAACAGTGTCATATGTTTCGGTTTCTAACGAGTATAGAAGTATAAAAGGTGTATTTTTATACACCTCATACCATGAACGAGTACCACACGAGCTACTTTACCCACTAACGTTTAAGCAGCTTGCTAAAAGTTGTGTAATAGTTTAAGATTCTGAGTCGAGACTTAGAGAATATGATATAAGGGAATCATATTATATATATTATAGTCTCCGTTACACAAGAAAAAAAAGGAAAAAGCTCCTATACTATATACTTCCGCAGATTCTATGTTTTATTACGGATTGTGACGGATGTATCTACTATTTTCCATACTATGTCTTTTTGTGTAATATAGTCCTAGCATGTTCATGATAAGACACAGTGGCAGACGCTTGACGCTTATTTCGTCCAAGAAAAATAGGTTTGGATTGTCGATGTAATTAACTGAAGTAAAATATATGCTTTTAGGTTCTATAATATTTTATCCAAAGGGATTTCTTCTTAACACTTTATTTGGTGAAATTTGTATTACAAGAATTGTTATTATTAAATTTAATCATTATTTTGTCCTTATGTTTAAAAAGCTTGTTACTTTAATGAATAAGATGAAATATAAGATGGGAAAAGAAATTAGAAACAGGATAAGGAAAATTAAAATTAAAATGAACATACGAATCTATTAGATCAATAATAGTCTCTATAATTAAATTCCGGTGAGCACTCACTCGTTGGCCAGCGCGGGAGCTGAAACACGGAAGTCGAAAATGTTGCGGCAACAGGGGCGTTATGTCACAGAATAATATCTTCGAAAGCCCCAGTGCTAATTTTATTTATAATTTTATAATAATTGTTAAATGCACATAAATTTTACATATAATTTATTTATATCAGGTTTTAATTAAAATAGGTCTAACTTTAAATTTGGATAAATATGGAATATATCTTCCACGGTGAAAATTTGGACACTGACAACACAATAAATACAATGAATACCGTAGCCCCAAATATAAAAATAGTAAATAAAAAAATTCTGTACCTCTTAGGGGCACCGATTTTCAAAGAAGCTTTTGTTGAATACATTAACTCGACAATGTCAAAATTTAAAGATCTTTCTCACCGTCTTCTGGATATTACCGCACACTCAGCACTGTTCATTTTAAAATTCTGCCCTTTTTTTGGGAATACAACTTAACTTATGTACTTCGCTGTAGCCCTCTATGGAATCATTCAGTTCTATTACGTGATTTGGATAATCGTTTAAAAACTTCTTTGGAATCTATTTTAAATGTTCGTTTTGAAACACCTTGGAATCAAGTATCGCTCCCTATTCGATTAGGCGGATTAGGAGTACGCAAGATAACAAGCAGGTGAAAAATAATAAACGGCTCAAATATAAGAGTCTTTCCTCCAACTTCGATTTTGTTCCCTTTGGAGTAGAGACTCTTGCGCCATGGGGTTCAATTGCACAGGCGCTAATAAAGATAAAAGTTGGCGCCTGGTAGATAGCACCGGTGACCCCAGGTCTGGTCGCTCAACGAATAAGTATCGAAATACAGTGAGGAAATGCTGCCAGCGTTAAAGGTACATTGCCACAGGGACCAAACTTTGTAATTTTTTTTTATAAATTTTTAAATATAATGTTATTATTACTATGTAGATTAAGAAAATTTTAAATACTGTATATTTGATTGTTATGGTGCGCTTACACGAGGGCAATAATTGCTCGGCAACACGAATGGACCGATCTGGAGCAATTAATGGAGCAATTTCAATAAATTCAATAAATTTCAATAAATTATTTCGGCGATATTGCTTCTAATTGCTCCAGATATTTCATATCGCTCAATGTCGCAGATACGAATTGACGAATTTCCAATGGACTTGGAAATTCCTAGCAATTTTTGTATATATCTCATACGCACTTGTTTGTTTTGCGGCTTGCCGTCTTGCTTGCGGGGAGAGCGAGAGGTCGGGTGGAAGTAGGATAGCAAGTAGTCAGCCTCTGTTTGTTGTGTTATAAATAAATTAAAAATAATAAATTAAAATAAAATTTAAGTTAAGTTGTAATTTATAAATAATTAAATAATATATTTTATAATTATTTATAAATTACAACTTCATTCTGTTTTGGTTCACACAACGGTGTTCCTTTTTTTTTTTACCGTCTGGTCAAACATAGCCAACAGCTTGATTATTTTATGTCGTATTTTTTAATTGATTCATTTGGAATTTTGCAAAGCCGAGGAAATGTCCGTAATAATTTCAGTGTGCTAATTAACTAGCATTCAGCGTAAACATTGGAAATGAAACTGAACTGTTTCCTCGTAACATTATATTTTTGTTTTTTTTTTGTTTTGACTGCATTTTGAAATACTACTGCCGTGGAGTACATTACTAATGATTGATTTATTTGAATTAAAAATCTACTTAATTGTGAATTTAAATAAATAAAAAGGTTGATAAATACAATTATTTTTAAATTAAATATCCTCACTTTTAAAGTAAAATAACTTTCCTTTATATATTCTCGAAGAACTTCTGCAATAGCTCTGCATACAGTAGGTACAAATAGTGCAATACAACTATCAGAAATTCTAAACAGATACATTAAAACTTTTGTATGAATCTCCAGTTGCCAGAAATCGAAGGGTTAAAGCAAGTTTTGTTGATGCAGAAATTGGTTCTCTCATGTTGGTCGTCTGTTTCTTAATTAATGGGCTAACTTTATTCAAAAGTAATTCAAAGTCTGTTCGTGACATTCTAGTAAAGTTTTTGAATAATATATCATCTAATTCTTTACATAATGAAAATTTTGTCCTCTTTGCCAAAAACGATCGCACCCAGATACGCCTATTCCTTTTTTGTTTTTGATTAATAATAAAAAAAGCACTACAAGCCGCCGCAGCAAGAACAATGTCGTCCATAGTGAGCGAAAACTGAAATGCTCGTGTATGACAGTATTGCCTAGTTGATGATGTTGCGCCATATTGCTCAATATTGTATTGCGCAGTATTGATGCTTGTTGACGTTGCCGTAAATTGCTTGATGTAGTCGTGACGTCATAATTGACGAGTATTTACTGGAATTGAGCAATTTTAGTTGCCCGTGTAAGCGCACCTTTAAGGATAATAATAAACATTTACTTTATTTTTTAATTAAATAGTCACGTCAAAAAAAATATATACACATTACTTACAATTATTTTATAGAGCTTACACATAATTTATAGAATTACATGCTTAAAAATATAAATGAGTGCCAAGTCCATGTTGATAAATTCATGTAAATTAGTAGATTTTCTTTAAAATTAGTTACTTTTTTAAGTAAATTACATTACAAATATTTGTATGCTTTACATTGGCAACTGGCATTGCTTTTAAGGTTAAATATGGGAAATAGCTATTACATAATACATATACATATTAATACGGTCGGTTGTTTGTAGTTTGCAACAAAGTGACAGTGATGAGCGTGCTTTGTTATCTGTGCAAGTAAAATAGCAAAGCGTTGCAGTCTACAAACTGTAGGGATGTTCTTTAAGCCGGATACGTTTTTGTGAATCGTAAGACCGAAGCGCGCGTGCGATTGCATGAAATTGAACTAATTTACAAAAGATCTATTCATACGCCATTGCGACCGCTTACCACGCCGAGTGTGACTATTTGGCACTAGCAGCCCCAGTCTCTCTAACTTTTCCGCCTTATATATTCTACCTCTAAGGACATTAAAAAAAGGGTGCGTGTACTTATGTACCCGCGTAAGAAGTTATACTTCTTTGGCACTATTAAAAATAGTTTTTGATTGCATGCAAATAATTAATTACAATTAAATAATCAAAGACTGGAAAAGGAGTCATTATAGTCAATAAAGTTCAGTTTACATTTGAAAAATTCAATAAATAAATATTTATTATTATTCTCTTACATTAAGTGTAACATAAATTCTATTATTATTCGAATGTTGTTTTTAAATTATGTCCAATGCCGTAGCATCTTCCGTGGGCAACTTCATTCTATTAATTTTGTGTCACGGTGCGCGCGCATCGTAAAATTTCACTCTCATACATTTTTCATAACGCACCTAAAGAAGTATAACTTCAAAAATATATTGTAATAGTATGGTCTCTCCTTACCTCTTGTTGTATCCTACCAAACCCAAGACAAACAAAGTTGGATACATAAGTGGGTAAAATCCATACAACCTCATGTAAATGTATCTCGTTAATTTGTTCTAAATACGCTCCACCATTAAAGAGTATTATTTTTCTTGCGGGGACCAAATCATAGAGTTACATTCCTATTGGTTCCAAACAAGTGCACTTTGGATCCTTTGGCCATACGCAAAATAAACCTTCAATTTTTAAGAGCTTTTCTACACATTCTTTTTATGTTATTCCGAAAATTCAATTCTACGTTTAAATGAACCCCTAGGTCTTTGACTTCTGCATCTTTTGGAATTGGCTGTTTCTCTATGTAATAATTATAGAGAATCGGTGTCCGTGCTCTAGAAAAAGAAATATCACCACAATATGTTTAACACGTGAAACATTTGACTTGTTTCAGTGGGAAAACGTAAAAGAATAAAAATAACAATTTGTGTAAAATTGTCATTAATAAATTATTTGAAATAGGAATACAAATCTTGTCAAATAGTCAATTGTATGCCTCCTTCAGCCTTCTTAAGTTTTTAAATTTGGTTATAAGTAAACACCAGTGAAAGCTGTAACACGTATATTTTAATTATAATATAGTGATCACTAAAGCAATGTCAGGGATATAATTAGAATTGAATGTAGCCACTGCTTATATCGTAAGGACTCGATCCGATCATTGAAACGATCGGATCAGATACATCACTAGCGAATTGCAGTCAAGGTGTACATTTTCACTTTTTGATTTTGCTTTTTGAAGTTTGAACCAGTCTAAAAACAAAGTCACTTGCGCCATATGTTTCCGAGTCAAAAGTTCTGATATAATATTACTTTCTGGTATTTTGTGTTGAAAATATACTTCTTAAGCTCTATTCGAGCCATCAGAACAAGGAAATTCAATAGAAGATAGAAAGTTTGAACTATAGCAAAGGTAAAGTAACTTTTAAGTGTTAGGTCTAAATTTCATTACCGCCATAAACATTTTTGTAATGTATTATGTTAGTAAATTAGATCAGAGAATAGACTAGATTCATTGTTAAAGCATAGCTCTGTTTATCTTTAAAATATTTCCTAGGACAAAGACCGTCCACGTGGTTACTTCTGGAGTCGTAATAAAATGTCAAAGTGACCGTTACTTTTGCCGGCAAAATTGGTATATACACAACTATATTTAAGTATGCGTTCTTAATATTTTAAGTCTAATAATAAGTTATCTCTACTTTCTGCTTAAGGAATTTAATTAAAATTGTATTAAAAAATTTTTACAAAATATTTATTAGATTTATAATATTAAGCATCTTTTACTAACATCTGATAAATTGTAAACGATATTTTTACATTTGGTATCTTTTATAAATTTGTTAAACTGATGTAATATCTATTTAATTAATATAGGTCAGCCAACAGATTTGCATCATACATATTTAAACATACTCTTACATTAGTTATTTCCCTTACAAAAGATTTGCTATTACTATGTTTATTTTTGCTTAGATGACTGAAACCACAGAAGTGCCAACCAGCTCTCCTACTGACCTTCTTGCTGCTGGCCGCCGTGATCTGGCTGTTCGGGAGTACACTTCTGCAGTTGAAAGTCTGGCAAAGGCTTGTGAATTACTGGCTAAGGAACATGGTGACTCTGCAGATGAATGTGCTGAGGCTTATTTATGGTATGGCTTATTTTTAAGTGACAATAATCATTTTATTCTATATTTCTATCTATACTTCAATGCAATTTTACTTTTAAAATCAAATTCTGATTTTAAAAGAAGTTCATTAATTAAAGAATTCAATGATTTTTTAAGGTATGGTAAAGCTCTCCTTGGATTATCAAGGGAAGAAAGTGGTGTCCTTGGGGATGGAATGCCAGGAACAAAGAATGGTGATGAGGAAGGTGACAGTGAAGGTACATTTTTATTAATTCTTTTTCAGCAATTGCTGCTAATCTACAAATTACCATACTTTTTTTTGCAAAGATTAAATTTTGATAGATACTTAATGTAAGTCATAAATTGAGAAAACTTTTTAAATATTTTGTAAGAAAAAATTAAATGTTTGTCTGGGTTTAGTATTTTTTCTTTCAAAAATAAAATTTAACTTAGATTTCAATTAAGTTTCCCTTTATAAAACCGTCCAAACACATTTTAAATAAGTCATACTTTTGTTAATAAATTAAAATTTTACATTCTATGTAAAAAATTATGTTTAAGTTCTATAGTTTTATGTAAAAAGATATAGAAATAGTATTGTAACTTTTTATTTGTTATTACAGAACAAGAGGAAAATGCTGATGAAGTACCAGAAAAAGATGAAAAAGGTCAAGGGGATGAGGTTGAAGCAATGGATTCGGAGCAAGCAGTTCAATCAACGAGTCAAGAGGAAGCTTCTTCTTCAAAGGAAACGGAACAACCTGTAAGTACATCTAGTAAAGAAAGAATACACCAACATATAACATAAATTTTCCCACGCCTAAGATATTATGGAAACTGTCTGGCTCTCTCACAATAAATCAATAATTTCATAATACCGATGGCTGGCCATGCGTCATACTCGTGAACGGGTGCTACTTGTGGTGGCTGGTCGTACTTGAATTTGTGTATGCGGTGATTTTAGTTTTTACGACTATTTATTTGCGTGTTGTTCCCACGAGAATGTAAGTTGCGTGCTCCTATTTCACCATGCCTCTTGCTGATAGAGGACAAATCTTTGTTTTTAATTTATTTTATTATTATTTATTACTGAAGATGGAATATGGTGTAGTGGTTGCAGCTCCTTTTAAAAGTTGTGTTAAAAAAAAAACTTGGCGATTAAAAAGAGTGGTGGAGAGTTTATTGCCAGTTCATCTCTTCCGTTCTACGCCCTTGATTTGAGAACTGGCAGTAAATGTAAAATTAGAAGCATTTCATATAATTATATATATTTACTTCTTTTTGATGTTCATAAGTGTATATTGTGTTACCTATATGAATAAATGATTTTAACTTGACTTTGACTAATAGTTACGAACACGCAATAGTTATGCTGGTGTAAAATTGAATGATTTTAAATCTAAATTTATTGCCCATTCTAAAATTAAAGATGTTAATTAGGCGAGGAGAACTGACAAATAAACATTTAGCCTCTGTCAGCATGTTATTATTGTAAAGACATGGTTAAATTGGTGTCTAATATATCCTCATATTGCCTATATAGTGTTTTCCCATTCACAGCCAGCCTTTGTCTTTAGTTTTTTCTAACTTCAATAACAGTAATTTGTATTACATGAGAAGTTCACTAAACAAATATCTTTAAAATTTAAAGGCATTTTTTTAATACTTCAGGGTACATCAAATGGTGATTTAAATGATGAATCAATGGCAAATTTGGGCAATGAAGATGATGTAGATAATCTTCAGCTTGCTTGGGAAATGTTAGGTGAGTTTAGAATTTGGCTTTTCAAAATTTTTTATTTAGCAAGTTTACGGCCTGGCCACGGGGATCGGCGGTGCGAACGGCGAAGCGGGAGGCGAGGCGACCATTCACGCGGCGCCGTTTGCAGGCCACGCACCAGTCACGTTCGCCGCCGCGACCAGTAAGGAAGTTCGACAGCGAAATGTCTTTATCGAAATTATCTCGATATTGCTTGTGATAAGTAATAGCTTTTGGTTCAAGACCTAATATTTGGAAGAGATTGTGGAGTACATGATTTAAATAAGAATCAAAGTATAGATGGAGAATTCCACAAGAAGTACGAGAAATACAGAATATATCCAATTTTTTTGAGTATACGAGAATGAGTATTGAAACCTTCGATTATATTCTTATGAATATTCAACCAGAATTGGAAAAAAGATAATGCAAATAGAATTTTAAGTGCCACTGAAAAATTGTTTTTGACATTAAGGTATATTAAATTTATGTTGTGGATGGCCAGACTTCCAAATAGCTGGTCTTGCCAGTATTTCAGTAATAAAAAACTCTGTATTCATTTTTCGCCGCGAAAACGACTAAACTTATTTAATCCCTGCTCTATTCGCCGCGACTGCCGCTCGACTCCGTGGCTTGCGCCGTACTGATTCATGCCTTTGTTTCGCCCGCGCGATTCGCTCGGTACATTTCGCCGGTCGCATCGCCGGTCGCCGTTTCGCGTGGCTTGATTAGTACATTGCTATGAGTTTATTTCAGTCGCTAGACGCTTCGCCGTTCGCATCGCGCGAATATTCGCATCGGCGAATGTCCCGTGGCCAGGCTGTTACAGAACTTAGTCATATGACCAAAACTAAAGATATATTTTTTTTAAATGTAATATTATTATTACAAAAAAAAAACTATTTAACCTATTTAGTCATGTTAAACATACCTTAATATAAACTTATTATTTTAATAAATATTATTTGGGTGTTGCTTACTAGGGGTAACAGCGACTATTCTGTTATTTTGCTGGCAGCCTTATGATATAGAGATTGTATTTTCTAATTCCTAACTATACACTATTTAATTAATAAATAAAAATTTGCCCATTCTTCTGTTGTTGTGACTGTATACGCATCTTGTCCAGACAATAACGGACACAAAAAATTCGAAATATGTTGCTGGCAAATAATTTGTATTGTATAGATTATTTATTAAAAAGTCAACAATTCACATTTAAATTATTATAATGTTGAATGCGGATTTCACTAATGGGAGTTAGATTTTGTTTTTATTATCAATAGCATGAAGCTACTCAAGAGGCTTCTCAGAGAATTAATACAAATCTGTTACTGAGACTGATAGGGTTGGATGTACACGATAATCATGTAGTTTAAATGATCTCTTTAGATCTCGCACGAAGCATATTGGAGCGCCGTGCGGAGTCAAACGCAGAGGGCGCTCGCTCTTTGTTAGCAGATGTTCACCTCACATTAGGAGAAGTTGCATTGGAAAGTGAGACATATGACAAGGCCGTCATTGATATGAGTAAGTTATCTTTTTAATATGCTGAAGAATTTTATTAATATATGTATGGTTTATTTAAGGTATTTGTTTTGCCTCAATGATAAATAGAGAACTAATTGCTATATCTCTATGCTTAATGGGTAGGCGTTAACTAGTATTTCTATGATTTTAGAAACAGAAAGTCTATACCAAAACATTATTAAAAATTCCAGCTTCGGGATAATAGATTTCGTTAATATTTCAATTAACTCCTATCAAAATATTAAGTAGTTTTCTGTCAATTTGATTTCGCTTCTTTCACTGACATGATTAATAAGTATTTGAAACAATAAGAAAATAAATAAAATATTGTTAATAATGTTTGTTTCATTAGCTTTTTAATCTGTTAAATAATTTAATTTTAATCTGTAGTACTCACATAAACCAAAGATAATATTAAATTCTTATAGTTTTCTTTCCAAATTAATATCAAAATCTATACATTATTTAAAATTTCAGTGAGCTGTTTGGAGATTCAAAAGGAGCTGTACTCGAGTGACGATCGACGCATCGCAGAAACTCATTATCAAATTGGTAATATTTTATTGAATGAATGATCATTAGCTCACACATAGTCATTTCCCCAAATTGGTGATGGAAGGTTATGAGATAAACGACTTTTGTCTGAAACTTTATTGGTGCCTGTAAAATATATATCGACGTAGGAAAGCATATTTGCTGTAAGTAGACAAAATACCTAAAGTGACTTTTTACTGCCATTAGAATCAGAAAAAAAAACCGCATCGAATGTCCCGGGTCCTGTGTCTCTACGATGAAAAAAAAATTACATACGCGGTTGAAAACGCCCGTACTTATATTTTTTTTAGTAAGATTAAATGCTGTATGTAGACCAAAATCCAGTCATTTTAGACAATTTTTACTTACAGCAAAAGAAAATCTGCATTTTTTACTTTACAAATACTTACTTCTTCCCATTTAAAAACTTAACGCTACTTATAGCATTTCTGCGGCGTGTGATTTTTACATTCGTTTACTTACAGCAAGCTTAGGGAACCTACAGTTTTAGTTTTTTTTTTACCATTTACGACATGTTATTACAACCAAACATTACATTACCAAATGACCCACTGCATTTCTAGATCTAATCATAATTATAAACTAATCTTACATCTTGAATTGCAATTGAAAGTACCCAAATACATAAATATACTGCATACAGCATATTTACCGGCTGTAAATTGATAATATTTCCGCGCGTACATTTTTCTTCCTTAGTTACAGCGTTTTAAAGGTTTGTGATTTAAAAAACTGTATGCTGTAACTAGCCAAACACGTACTTATAGTAACTTTGGATAAAAAGTTTACATTGCAAATGGTGACTGGCAGTTAAATAAATATATGTTTCAAAAATGGTAGCAATATCATGGATAGGTTCGACAATATTAATTTTTTTCCGAAATCAATTAAGTTTTTTGGCTCTGGTGAACAATTGCAATATGTCTACTTACAGCAAATATGCTTTCCTACGTCGATATATACAGTCAAAATCTGTTATAACGACATCGAAGGGACTACTCATATTTGGTTGTAAAAACCGATAGTAGTAACAGCCGATGACGTTGTTATTAAGTACCTAATACATAGAAGTCAGCAGGGACCTTTGATTTTGGTTAATATTATCGGTATGTTGTTCTAAACGGTTTTGACTGTAGCTCCTTCAATAATCTGCTATATTATTACTTAGCTTTAGTCTGTGCACTGTTACTTAGGCTTGTAAGTAACAGTGCATCGTTATAAACTAATCTAAAGAAAATAATAATTATAATGCAATACCGCTCTTAATGTGTCTTCGAGTCAGATTTTCTTTATCTGATAATTTTTCTCTATAGAAAAGTACCTGATCGGTCTTCTTTGGCTCACACGTCGTTAATTATAGGGCCTATAGCATGACTGCTTTCAACTATGTTGTTCCTCAGCATACAAACAACTGTTCAATGAACGTTACATCATTAGTGAAGAGATGGTGTTTGAACGCACCCTTAACTAGCAACGCGTTGTCTATAAATTTTACTCGAGAATTTGTTTCAGGTCTGGCCAATTCTCTGGCCTCGAACTTTGAGGAGGCAATAACGCACTTCAAAAATGCAGCGAACATTCTAGAATCTCGTATTAAGTCACTAGAGGGTCCTGAACCCACGGACGCAGCTCAAGCCGAGATCAAAGAGCTGAAGGAACTATTGCCCGAGATACAAGACAAGATTCAAGACATGATGGAGTATAAGGCAGAGGTGAGGCCCTGCGAGTGTTTGGAACAAACTAGGGATATGTTGCGGAAAATGATGTTAAAGGAAAAAAAACATGTGTCTTGTTGTACTCGGGTAGAGGTTTAGACTTTATAAACAACAGAGCGCCTGGCATAAAGTTAAAACTATTGCCATAATATAAAAAAAAACTACAGAGCGCTTAAAAAACTAATGCACATCTTTTTTTGATACTTTGTGATAGTTAACTGTAGGATTTAAGGTTAAGCGACACAATTCAATCACATTTTTTCTTATTCTGACTTATTATTAATACAATTCTTCAAGGATCTCTCGTGTTAGGGTTGTTTACCCTTATTTTAAGAAAATTATTCGCTGTTTCAAGGTGAAAATAATTTTATGCCACTTAACTCAGCAGATTTATCGATTTTACGAATTATTAAGCCCTTTTGCGTAATATTTCAATTTAAAGCTAATATTAGTATTTAGTTAGCGAGTACTCGTTTAAATAAGTCTTTTTAATAAGATATAAACGCGAAATTATGTAATTTTTTACATCGCGCCACGTGTTAATTAAATAAGTTTTTTCGAATAGTTAGTAATAAGTTCATGGTGGATCTTGACTTTTGTCAGTTACATTCAAATACTCAAGACGGATCTTGAAAATAAGTGATACTTTGTGCCTATTTGCTTAACTCTATACGACGATGCTTTAGACTGATATTTTTAGAAATGCCTATTTTTAATGTTAAATTGGTTTTTGAATGAAATTGTGATTATTCAGTATTATTTTAGTGCGTTTACCCGTTAGTAATTGTATTGTTAAATTTTTGGCCATTTTGTATTGTCTGTAATAAAATTGTTCAAAATTGATGCGTGTATATTATTTCTCTGTACCCAATACATTGATGGCCAGAATTTATCAATACAAAAATATTTGGCCATTAATGTACTAGTTGCCGATATTTTTTATCTTAAGGAAATTCGTTTAAGCAACCTGAGAGTACCAGTTTTACGCATGGGTATATCCTAAGAACTACAAGTTGTATGTATGTCCACATCGGATTTAAACTGCTATTAAATTTAATGAACAATGCAATATTGTTTATAATAAATAAGCTGACCCACCGGTCTTCGTACCGCATAATAGTCGATGAATACCTTATTGTCGATTGATTCTCAAAAATTTTGTCTATGGAGCAAACGTCGTAGTAAATGTTAAGTTATCTTTTGTTTTCAATATTATATACACATCTTTTCTAGGTTTTTTTACGTTAATCTTTACAAAATGTCAAGTAGAAATTTATATTATTTTACTATTCAGAGCGAATTCGAAACCAACAAAATAAAAAAAAACGGTCCAGCCGTTCTCGAGTTATGAATGTCATAACACAGTTATGTTAAGTAGCCAGTTATAACTAACGTAACACGACATAATGACATGACCATATTTATATGTACCATTTTATTCTTCTCGGTTACTAACAATTTAAAAAAAATAGAATAACTTTGATAATAAGACCCTAAACTAGGAGATCGCGTTCACGTTACACTGATTTTTCTTATAAGATAAGAATCCTAGTATATAATTAATATAATTAATCATATATATTAAAGTTAACTAAATATTCAAAATAGTTATTTTTAGAAATCTAACCCAGAATCTGCTTTAAAGTTAAACGTTTACGCTAAGGCGGTACCTACCGCACTAAACTTTGAAAACACCCAAAGGTTCGAAATTTGTCTTGTTGACAGGCAAAGTCTGCGACTTTCTATCGTAAAGTCGCGTGTTCAAACCTCGGTTTTAACTAAAGATTATTTTTTACAACGCATAAGTCACGATGAAGGTAGACATCGTACATAAACCGGCATGTCTTAGGGCCGATTTACATTATCTTAGTGTTTAGGAGAGTATTTTAGTACAAGTTGAAAGGCAAGTTCTTTAGTGCTTTAGTGCGTTGTGAGTGAACGTTTACATTTCTTCCAGTAGAGTATCATTACAGCGCCACAATAAACGCACAACGACGTCGGCAAATACGCTCTATTCTACGCAAAATACTAACTGTAGCTATGGAACAAATAGAAGACGAGATTTTATTCGAAATAAATAAACTAAATATGAATAATAAATAAAATAGCTTCTTTTAAGGCAGTGTATGCCGAATGCCTAGCCTGTTTGTTTTTGTATAAATTGTTTTTGACGTTCCACAAACATTCGTGAACAATATATTCAGACACAAATTTGATAGTTGTATTTTTCGACCATTAAGCCATCTTTAAAAATCAAAAAACACGCACGCGTTTCACGGCACTTGTGCACTCTCCTAAAGATTGTACTAAATTACGTGTTTACACACAACGAGGGAAGATCTCGGGGGTTGCGCGGGCGCGGGAGGGGTATCACTTGAAACAGAAATAAAAAGCGATTCTATTTTGATTCAACTTGAAAGTCAAGTAGAACCGTACTAAAGCAAGTAGCGTTTACATGTTTCAACTAAAGTACTATCCTAAAGCACTCTCCTAAACACTAAGATAATGTAAATCGGCCTTAAGACCCAAATGTTTAATATTTAGCAGACGTAATCCGAGCTGAAGTTCAAAAAATAATAATCTAGTAAAGATTATTATTATTATTTTAGTTCTCTATTTTTTTCTAGACTATTAGAAGGGTGCGAGAAGCCCTGTTCCCATCGAATGGTGCAACATCATCACAGAGCAACGGGGCCAGCTCGTCATCAGATGCCAAGAAACCGGCCGCGTCAGACATTTCCCACCTAATCAAGAGGAAACGTAAACCTAGCGAAAGTGAGGAACCAGCATCGAAGAAAAAGAATACGTAAAAACAGGACTTAACAATTAAAAAATGGACTTGACTAGTTAGACATTAACTCTTCTATTGGCTATAAGGAAATTGCTTTCGAAAAATCATATAAAGACTCCTGGACCATAAAAAATGCTTAACTAGATATTTAAACATCTCAATTGAAGCGTTTTAGACCTCTAACTTATTATTAACAATATTTGTATAATTAATTGTTAATTGGGTATCTAATTTTATACCATAAATATTTTCATATATTCAGTACATATTAAATTCCATTTAAAAATTATAATTTTAAGTTAACAATTTTAGTTAACTTAAAATTATAATTTTAAGTTAACAATTTTACACAGTTGATCATAAAATTCAGCAATTTTGTCCCTCAATAGGTTTCAGGGGTTTGAGGTTGTGTATATTTTGACTCTTGTTTAAACTCGACGCAATTCGGCTTATTAGTGAAAATAAATGATTACTCGGTCGCGACCTTGAACTCTACGATTCGGTATTTAATATTAACTTATTTAAAAAGTATTGAATATTGTAATACAATCGCTATACAGAAATAGATAAGCATTGTTTTCGGGAGAGGAGAGGTATACATTTTTGATTTTATTTTGTAATTATTTAGTAGAATTTAATATTGCGCAATCTCCGAAATTGAGTTAAATTTTCTTGAAATTCAAGTTTAGTAATTTAAATGACTGATTATAAGTTATAAAGTTGATAAACGATTATTAAATATATTATATAAAAGTATTTCAAAATATTTCATATTTGGCCATTAATAAATCTATCTTAAATTCTTAATTGCATAAAACGAAAAATGTTTTTATAAAGACATGTCGTTTTAACGGACGAATAACCACTTCAGACAAATTTATATTGTAAAATTGTGGGGTTAGGAAATAAAATATATTTCCTAATTTAATGATAATCTAAAGGAATCGTAAAATGTAAAATATTTGATTAGAAATGAATTTTAAACTGCCTTCCTAACGCCTTAACCTTATTTTATGTTAACCTCATTTGATCGTATTTTTTTCTGTACAATATTTACTCAAAGTAGACCTTGACTTTAACCAAATTTCGTACCAGATCTATCGTTGGCAAAAATTTAATTGAATTACTATTAAGTTAGTATAAAGGTAATAGATTGTAATTTATGTAAATGATTTAAGATAATAAAGTATGACGCTATCGACGTTGTTTCAAATTCGCAAAGTCATTATGATAAACGAAAACGGTACAACAATTTATGCCCACAACTTCAATACGATGAACTTGACCATGACCACAAATGTGAATATGATCAACATTCACTTAATACATTATTGTTTAAAAGCTAGAGCTACATCCGGCATATATTAACATAGTCTAGTCGACAAGTTGAAAATGGAACAAAATAGAGATACTGCTCTTAAAATTATGTGCGATAGCTCATTCGAACCGGAATGACGCCTAGAAAAATGTGCTAAAAGCGTGTATTAGCACATAAAAAATTGCAAAAGTTATAGACCATTAAAGATGAAAAAAAATGGAATTTAGTTTTTGCCAATATTTAATAAACTATTAATATTTAAGAAATTTCAAATAAAGATTCTGAAAGAGGAGGAAATTTCCAATAAAAAACTCTCAGCTCCCGGAACTCTATCTCCATTATTTATAACTTTAATTTAACGCTGAAAATAGGTCTGTGCGTGACATTTTTAGGATTCGCGCGTGGCGTCAAAAGCGACTACGGCACATTAATTAATTTATTTAAGGTATTGAATATTTTTTTTAAATTTGAAAAAATTATGGTGTGTTCTGAACACTATAATTAATTTATTCCCGTTGGAAATTTTACTTAAAGTTAATTTTTCAACAAGTTAAATAATTGTTAACTAACGAAATTTTCTCGAACGACCGTCTTAATTGTAAGTGAAAAAAATGTTTTAATAATGGTCGTAAAATATTTCGCTTCGTAGAGCCTTTCTTACATACATACTTAACAAGATCGTGCCATAAAAGTTAAAGAAATATTTATACTTTGTTTATAACAATTTTTTACTTAAACAAAAACTTAAAAATCCAAGTAATGTTGTTATAAATAATTTTTTTTCTAAATCATCAAATTATCGTTTTTATATTAATACAAGATATTTATTGATTTGCAAAAAAAAATTTCCGCTCATTGTTAATAATTTTTTTTTAAACAAATTGATTAAATCAATTGTTTTAAAAAAAAAAATTTCTAACTTTATTACATTACAAATATTATGATTGTTTAAAAAAAAATTTCCTTAATAACATATTTTAATTGTTTATAATCGTTTTTTTATATTTCTTTTGTTTAAATAATTAGTTAAGAAATTTTTTTTTTTAAAAATCATAATTCACAATCCTCTATAAAGTAACAGAAAAAAATTTTTTTTAATCAACAATTCTATTGTTTATTAACTTACCAATTTGTTATAAACAAATGTTCAACTTTTTATATTTTTTTTCTAAAACTTCTAAAATTAACAAAAACAAACATATATAACAAAGTCTAAAAAAAAAAAAAAAATTTTTTTAATAAAAGTAATATTCATGATAATCAAAAAATTTAAAAAAATGTTTTTCTATATTTTGTTATATATGGTTGTTTTTGTTAATTTTAGAAGTTTTAGAAAAAAATATAAAAAGTTGAACATTTGTTTATAACAAATTGGTAAGTTAATAAACAATAGAATTGTTGATTAAAAAAATTTTTTTCTGTTACTTTATAGAGGATTGTGAATTATGATTTTTAAAAAAAAAATTTCTTAACTAATTATTTAAACAAAAGAAATATAAAAAAAACGATTATAAACAATTAAAATATGTTATTAAGGAAATTTTTTTTTTAAACAATCATAATATTTGTAATGTAATAAAGTTGAGAAATTTTTTTTTTAAAACAATTGATTTAATCAATTTGTTTAAAAAAATTATTAACAAATGGCGGGAAATTTTTTTTTGCAAATCAATAAATATCTTGTATTAATATAAAAACGATAATTTGATGATTTAGAAAAAAAAAAATTTTTTAACAACATTACTTGGATTTTTAAGTTTTTGTTTAAGTAAAAAAATTGTTATAAACAAAGTATAAATATTTCTTTAACTTTTATGGCACGATCTTGTTAAGTATGTATGTAAGAAAGGCTCTACGAAGCGAAATATTTTTACGACCATTATTAAAACATTTTTTTCACTTACAATTAAGACGGTCGTTCGAGAAAATTTCGTTAGTTAACAATTATTTAACTTGTTGAAAAATTAACTTTAAGTAAAATTTCCAACGGGAATAAATTAATTATAGTGTTCAGAACACACCATAATTTTTTCAAATTTAAAAAAAAATATTCAATACCTTAAATAAATTAATTAATGTGCCGTAGTCGCTTTTGACGCCACGCGCGAATCCTAAAAATGTCACGCACAGACCTATTTTCAGCGTTAAATTAAAGTTATAAATAATGGAGATAGAGTTCCGGGAGCTGAGAGTTTTTATTGGAAATTTCCTCCTCTTTCAGAATCTTTATTTGAAATTTCTTAAATATTAATAGTTTATTAAATATTGGCAAAAAACTAAATTCCATTTTTTTTCATCTTTAATGGTCTATAACTTTTGCAATTTTTTATGTGCTAATACACGCTTTTAGCACATTTTTCTAGGCGTCATTCCGGTTCGAATGAGCTATCGCACATAATTTTAAGAGCAGTATCTCTATTTTGTTCCATTTTCAACTTGTCGACTAGACTAACAGGCGTATGTGTGATACATAAACGTAAGGCCGTTTCTCCACTGCTCCGGTCCGGCAAACGTTAATTACCGATCCGATTTAGAAACTCACAACAGTACTTACGTACTTCTCCACTACTCCGGCATCCGATTTTTAACGATCCGATAACTTGCTAGATCGGATAGCGGTGTTTTATCGGTCTAAGTATATCCAAGTATCCAAGAGGTTATAAATTATTATTCACAGGTTTATTTATAGTTTCTTTAATTTGAAAGAATCTGGATAACCTGGATCAAACCAAATTATGTTCTATTTATTTATATTTTGATACCATAGTATTAGTGAACTATCTTTTAAGAAGATTATAATATTTTAAGATAGTCAATATAAATAAACTTGCCAGGGCATTAAAATATTCAGAATTTAGAACGTTTTATTAATAAAATAAAGTATATGGGTTTTAGTTAATATGTGTTGCAAGATAAATAATGTCAAGTAATCGATTATTGTCGGATCGGATATGGTGGAGAAGCGCAATCCAATTTATAGATTTCAAGGACTTAAGTGGTTCCAAGTGGACCAAGACGCTTTGCAACCTTTATCGTCTTGCATCTGTTTCTCTGATGATTTTTCTTCATAAACAAGTTCAGCCATCTATGTCTCAATCTGATTTTTGTTAAATAAAATGTTAATATTATGTTATGAACACTGCTTGTACTACATACACATTTAAATAAATAAATAATAAACTCCGAGTCATACAGCCGGCTTTTGATCACACGGCCTTGATTGAGGGCAAGATTAAAAAACAAGTCTTAGCATAATATATGACTTCAGATATCAAATTTTAATACATTGGTGACATGCGGCACTTGCTGCATATCGCTGTATAGAAGCAATAACTTGAACTAAACGCAGTCGCTTTTGTTTAGGTGATTTAATCGTTCTAAGTGAAACTCGCATACGATTACTAGCTGTCGCACAGAGCGCTGGTTTGCATGCGGCCTGCAACATGGTGATGGGTTAGGGTAGCAGACACATTAACTATAATATAAGTATTAGGGGAACTTATGTACACGTGTTGGAAGTTATACTTCTTTGGCGTAACAAGATAAAAATCTTTGAAAATTTTTTTCTACGTTTGTAGAAAAAACTATACTAACAATAGAAACAACTAAAATGTTGACTATAGCTAACTTCAGGGTGTCGGTATTTTGCGCGTGCATCGTAAATATTTACTATCATCATTTTTCCCTATCGCACCAAAAGAAGTATAACTTCAAAATGCCCAAATTTGAAACGAAAGGGGAATATATGCAATGGTTATACGTGTGAGAAGCCTGACAATGACCATCGTAGTAAACTATTACGTATATACACGAACGGAACCTCAATAGTTTTACTATGTATAGTGATATATGTAGTACAGAGTATAAACTGAACATGTTATGAAAGAAAATTACAGTAGAGACATATAATATATATATATATATACATATGTATGTTATATTTGTATATGAAGGTTCCTATTTTGTCGGAAAGGTGGAATTAATGAATTGAAGCATTCTTGCATCGAGGAACATACCGTGTTACTAAAAACGATTAAAAAACAACTTAAAACTGAAAATCGAATGAAAAAGAGGATTTGAATCTGTACTCGGTAACATTATGTCATAATAGAAAAATAAAAATCCTCGTAAAAGATTGAAAAGAGCAGAAAAATTTATTATATTCCAGAGAAGAAGTACTGGCATTTCCACTAAATTCTTAAAGCTGTATAATATCTACTGATGGATTTACTTTATTATGCGATATGTTGAAATGTACCTACCTAGTTTTATGCACCTACTTATTTTAATGTTTGTAATGTGTCAAAAGAGGTTAAAAGTTAAATGGTTTTGTTTAAAGATTTTTATTTTGTTCAGAATTTCTAAGGTCTGATATTCAACATATGCAAATATGATTTGTGGTACGTCACAATAAAATATATATATCTAAAAAACTGTACAAGGTACAATAGGTTTCCTTATCCCAATTATATATCGGTCGTAAACTAACGAAAAAGTATATACATTCTATTTCCTACGGAAACATTTATAAGATATTACACTTTCACAACAGCTTTACCGCTATTTTCTCCTTTCAAGACGCCGATAAAAGCATCAAAAAGTTTATCAAAGCCTTTTGTGATATGACTTTTTGCCCGTTTGCCCTTACCACTTCGAATCCATTCAGCTAAATCGGCGAATGCTTGAGGCCACCTGTCAGGGTTTGACCACCGTAGCACAGTGAATCCTTCAAGTTTTATTTCATTAAATATTATGGAAGGCTGCATAATCGTTGCTTTGGGTAATTTTGTAGGATCCTCATTATACGCACTAATAGAACCGCACACTGCTACTCTTCCAAATCTATTCATCTGACTTATGATTATACTGCTTATTTCTCCTCCTACATTATCAAAATAACAGTCTACTCCGCCTGGGGCGGCTTCTTTCAAAGCTAGACTTATATCTGCTGTTTTATAATTAATTGCTTTGTCGAATCCTAGTTCGTTTTCTAGCCACTATACTTTTTCATCTGAGCCCGCGAATCCAATAACTTTACATCCCTTGATTTTCGCAATTTGACCGACAATTGAGCCGACAGCGCCTGCTGCTCCCGTTACGACTACAGTCTCACCAGGTATTGGTACACATATTTCAAGAAAGCCGCAATATGCCGTTACACCAGTCATACCCATTGTGCCCACAGCCAGTTCCTCAGGAAGGCCTCGCAAATCAGGTAGTTTGTAAACTCTTTCGAAAGGATCATCAAATTTATCAATAATGCCATAATCACACCAGCCTTTATGGTATACAACTTTAGTGTCTGCTGGAAATTTCGGATTTTTGGATTCTAATACTGTGCCGACTTGGAAACTGAACTGGTCGTATGGCACTTGGTGGAATGGGTTGTGGACTTGAAGGTAAGGATCTACACTTATCCATTCGGATTTTACAAGAATTTCTCCTTTTTTTATCGGCAAAAGATCATATTCAACTAACTCGTAGTCGTCGCGTTTTGGAAGGCCTTGAAAATGTTTTTTACCACATACTTTCTTGCTTTTACCATCATAAATTTTGACCTGTTGAGCAATATTTTAACGATTAAAACTGGTTATTTTTAAATTTACACAATAATAATTAGATATTAATTACTGATTTGCGATAAACGTGTAGGTACTTAAGATTGTATGTTCCAAGGCCGATTGTGGTTAAATCAAATTTAAATATCGACGAATTCATTAAAACATTGACTTTAACAAACATAATAAGTGGTTAAAAAGTAATTTTAAACAATGATCGTAATTTTATTTTTACGTCCTCTTCTGCAGTCTGCATTGACCTTACCCTCGAAGACATCTTAAATAGTCACTTTAATTGTGTAGGAAATTTCAGAACAATCGTGAATATAAATATGACTTGAAACATATACTGAAAGCTTAAATAGAGACGATACATTATAATCTATATAACGTTTCTATTTTAGTATGAATGTGGCAATTTATTTGCGAAGGTGTAAATATAAAAACATTCCATTAAAATTCATGGAAAGTTATAACAGATCGCACAGGCATTGTTATTTTCACTGGGAATCGATGTCGTCAAGTTCATTTCCAAATAAGTGACCAAGTAGGTCACGGTTATGTATAAATAATGCAGAATAACATTTATTTACCGGAATAATTATCACTATAACAGTTGACTTCAAAATAATACCTATGAATATATCAGTAACCGATACCGTCCACTTTGTGTACTCATTTGTCTTATCTCACAGACCACAAACATGATGCCTCTGCTATATATACAGCGATGGTGTTTTAGCTACTGTTTTATACTATAAAATTGGGAGTTATGCAAGTTTGTTTAAATATATATGAACTGGTACATATGGGTAAAATAGGTGAAATAATGGTAAAATTAGGCGGAACGTAGGTTGATAATCTTATTATTACTATATAATATTCTTATAACTGCCGTTTAATTTTTGAGAAAAGCTATCCAATACTAAAAGGACAGTTTCGTAATTATAGATTTAGAAAAAAATACGACGATATTGCAGTATAAAAATAATGGAGCATTTATTTTTTCGTAATCATATTAAGATATATATCACGCATAACTTTTTTGTACTGTTATCAGGATAAAAATAAATACCTAGACTATATTCAATCATTATTATTTTTTGTGATAACATTACATTGTTGTTTTCTTGATAATCGTAATAACTTTGTTTTTGTAAGAACAGCAAGTCATACCCATAACAAGGAAAATACAACAAAATTACAATAATTATTTATTTATATTAATAAAATTATATTTAATATTATATAAAATTATAATATTAATAACACATCATCAAACTTTTACAACAGCTTTTCCCGTGTTTTCACCAGCCAGCATGCCGACAAAGGCATCATATAGCTTATCAAACCCTTCGGTCACATGGCTTCTTGTCTTTATCTTGCCTTCTTTAATCCACTGTGCCAGAGTAGCGATAGCCTCTGGCCACCTGTTTTCTGGTGCTGTCCACCTGGATACTATAAAACCCTCCACTTTTAGCTGCTTGAATAAGATGAGCGGCAGCAGTGATGATGTCTTATACGTGGTTGGGTCTTCATTGTACGAACTAATGCAGCCGCAGAGAGAAACTCTTCCATACAAATTCATTTGGCTATAAATAGCAGCAGTCAGCTCCCCGCCTACGTTGTCAAAATAACAATCTACTCCTTTTGGAGCTGCGTCTTTTAAAGCTTTACTAACATCCGCAGTCTTGTAGTTTATAGCTTTGTCGAATCCCAGTTCCTTCTCAAGCCATTGCACTTTGTCATCGGAGCCAGCGAATCCAATAACTCTACACCCTTTGATCTTTGCAATCTGTCCTACAATGGATCCGACAGCACCCGCTGCCCCCGACACAACCACGGTCTCGCCAGCTTTCGGTTTACAGATTTCAAGAAAACCAAAGTAGGCAGTGACTCCAGGCATGCCTAAAGCTCCCAAAGCCAAGTCAAGGGGTAGACCTTGAAGATCTGGCAATATATATACATTACTGTAGGTTTCTTTTAAATTGGTCACCACGCTGTAGTCACACCATCCCTTATGAGTAACCACCCTGCGGCCAACTGGAAAGTCTGGGTTCTTTGACTCTGTAATTGTACCTACTTGAAAGCCGAACTGGTCGTAGGGAGTTGGTGTACTAGAGTTGTAGGCTCTCAAATAAGGATCGACACTGATCCATTCGGCTTTCACGGAGAAATGGCCAGTTTTCAGCTGCGGCAATTCATATTCGACAAGTTCAAAGTCATCCTTTTTGGGAACTCCTTGAAAATGCCTTTTTACGACGTATTTTCTTGCTTTAACCATTATAACACGTTCAGCTGTAAATGGTAAAGAAGTTCCAATTCAATTACCAGTTTTATTATGTAAACATCTACGATAAATTTTAAATTAATCAAGACATATTGTGTTAAGAGCTTATCGCAAAGTGCAAAATACCTAACTGTTCAAGTGACAAAAATATCTTGTGATACAGACGTGAACACGATATTAAATTGAAATAGGTACTTACTGAATAATATTTTCCAGGAATCCGATCGTATATTACTTTTTATTATTACGTTTTTATGTTCACACTAATCGTATTCTAATTTTAAATCTATAACAATTCACGTAAATAACTTATTTTAAAACATAAAACGTGCGACTAAAATATGAAATTGGTATTTTATCACACTGGTGACTGGACACAACAACAGGTAGTGAACCGATATTGGCGACTGACGTCGACGTCCGACGATCCGTGATATCATCCTGTTGCACACACTCACGCAATACACATACGCTGCGCACATTTATTCACCATTATATTACCAAATTTAAGTCTAGTGTTTCCCTTTACAGACTTTTCACAAAACTCAATTTAATATTTTCATATACCTACATCTGGGTTCTATTCCCGGCGAAACAATAATTATTTCAGGCTGCCAGTTAATGAAACCACATCTATAGGCCTATACAAATTGTTCAATGAGACGGCAGTATTTTGTCAATCCCGTGGCAGATTTTAAATTAGATTAATTTTATTATATTGCCTACTAGCTACCATAGATAAGACTGTGTCATAAAAATATCACCTTAAATATTTCATTATCTCTAGTAAACTATCCCTATTCGTAGGGAATAAGAAAATCCTTTAATTCTATAACGTGTCGTATAATTGTATAAATTTATTGAAGTAAAACTTCTTTAGGCGCGACTAGGGAGTAACTCGGTTTTTTTTTCTGACGGAAGTAACGCTTAAACGTAGTTTCCGCTATTTAAAATAATACGATAGCGCGTTTTATAAGTCCGTCAGTGCCATCTAGTGGTGCATTATTTAAACTGATTTAAGTAAGTTTCTTGGTTTAGGATAACATTCATTCGTTTTATTTGATACTGATTCTTGTAATTATGTTATTATTAGTATATTTATATTTAAAATGAAAATCCATACTAGTAACATGTAACCAAATAAAAATTCCACTAAAGAGGGAAGGTTCCCATCCTAGCTTGCTTTTCTTTTGTTATACATAGTAGTAGGCCAGTTTTTTCGCTTAATTTCGTATTTTACCATTTTGGAAGAAGTAAATTAATATCAAATTATTATCTTAAAAATCGGGTCTATTTCATATAAAAATAACCAAGTTGTATAAGAGAATAGAAAAGTGAATAAAAAAAATTCAACAGTTTTACAAAAAATGTTTTAAAAATGTTTTTTTTTTAAATCTCTAAATATACTTATTGATTTATTACTTTTAAAATAAGTAAATTAATAATAAATTTTCTGACGATTGCGACATTCTATAATATTCAATAACAAGGTTATATTGACATGTGCTGATCTAACCTTCGTATTTGAATAATCTTTGTAAAGCACATGAATAATAAATATAATTAAATTATAATATGATATTTATTATTTAAGTTAATATTTAATCATTTCAGTGATATTAGATATAATATGCCGTCAACGCCAAAGTAGTTTTACTTCAATCGCGCGTAAAGGTTATACGCACACACTTTTTTTTAAATAACGACTACATAAAACCTCTTACATAATAAAATGAACATTCGGAAGCACAAGGGTTGTCTAAAGAACTCGATGATTTTTGTTGGTAGTTTACATTATATTTTCGTTAGGTAGAAAAAGAAATTATGGCACTAAGCCTGTACAAGAGAAGTCTGAGAGCATATATAGGTGGCTTCAAAAATTGTTTGTGTTGCCATCTTCAATGACAATAAGAACCTTAGTAAGTCGAGCTAATTTAAAACAAAATAAAAAAAGAAGAACACTGTGCTTCTGAATATTTGAAGAAAACAAACAATAAAAATAAATAAATAATATTTTATTAATTCCATTTACTGGGACTTGGGAGTTGTTATATTTTTACATATACAGGCAGTCCTCGACTTACGTCGTTTCGATTTAAGTCGTTTCAAGTTACGTCGAACAATGTTTTGATACTTTTCCTCAATCATACGTCATTTGTTTCGATTTCCGGCATAGGAGAATTCACTTGTCTTGTGCAAACTTGGAGAATGCCATGAAAGTTTTTGAGAGAAGTTTCAACGTTAATAACAAAATTTGTGCAGCTTATCAGTGTTATCTGTATGTAGAAAGCAGCAAAGCAATCTAGAATTGATAGTTTCATTAAGTTTAATTTATTATTTCTCATTACATATTGAAATTGAAATACTAAAATGTAAAGATCAAAAAAAGAAAATATGCACAATTCCTATAACAGAGGATCGGTTAGACAGATTTAGGAAAAATTTGATATTTAAAATGCCATTTTTGCGTAGTAACCAATGCCCTAATAATTTATATAGCACATTCTTTGATTCATTTATTGGTGAATTCAAAAATGTGCTCACTCCAAAGACTTTTTTGGTCTCGGAGAAACCAACCTTTTGTGACTGGGCAGCTCCGGAGCTACACAAAAAAAAGGCTAAAATTGTATGAGTTGTATGATGAAAAACAGTATAATGACAGTGAAGAATTTAAAACTTATGTTAGGATATTCTCAA